ACGATTATATCGTATAAGCGAAACAGGGCCGGGGCGGCGTCTAGTAGGTTTGATGCCCGGTCGCGGTCGAGCGACATAGCCAATCAGCGACGCTTCGTTCTGTGGCTCTACCGGATCATGATCTTCACGCTGATGTTCAACATGCTGCCCATGTTGACGTTCTCGGTGCTGAAGTTTCTGAAAATACGCGCCGTCAATATTTCGGCGAAGTCCATCATCGTGCTGTCCACCTTGAAGGCCGTCGTCGTTCCGCTGACGTGCCTCAGCTTTCCTGAGTATCGAGGAATGGAGGTCACATGGCAGCGGTTCTTCACAAAGCTGCTTCCTGTCCACATCAGCAACGTTATACACGTTTCGCACGTTGACCACGAAATGCAAACCATGCAACATTGTGCAAGCAGCAACGGAACCACTAAAACAGTCACAACGAAAACTCATTAACTTTAAAGCTAAAGCAGCGGTTCGCTATCACGCCGAAATACATTTCCTGTTTACTATGTATCTATGAACTGTGCTTGATGATTATCTGTTGATGAAACTTCCAAAAATGCTATTTCAAGTGGCTGAGGTTCATTCGTTTAAATAATGCTGAAAAGAAAGGGACACGTTCGTGTTCTTTCAGAGAGGATGTATAAAATTTCGATACATTCGGTTCATTTTTTCATCTGCTCAGTGTCTATGACGCAACGTACAGCTGGCCATCGTATGTTTGAGTCATATCCCCGTGTTATGAAAAACAAATATGACACAAAATGATTCGGAAGATGCGTTTCAGTCTGAAAGCAGAAGCAATGCAAGAACGACTTGTTTATTTACACTCTTACAGTGGATTTTTGCTGGTTTTTTTGTTGAAGTTTTACTATGAAATTGTTATATTATGCTGCACATGGCAACTTTTATTTATCAGTCAAATTTGATGTCCCATTTTTTGTTAAGATGGATCATTTTCTGCCCGTTATGTCTCCAGAGTTTTCCACCTGCTCTGTCCCTACCCACCGCATATAAAGCATTGGGTGAGCAAATGGTTCACTACACTTTGATCCTTGTATCCTAGTTGAGAAGTGATGCAATCATACATGATTCAGTTGCATGCGCCTGCACAAACCGCCTTATCTTTCGTGCGGCTAACAAAGAACTCGTTCTGCGATACGGCAGAGGGATTGCATTTAAAGATATGTCTCCAATTCCGCTGACGTGTGGCAACCAAACAGATCACACAGTCTATCCATGGAGACGATGCCTTTTCAGGGAGAGAGGAAGGAGGAGCGAAAAGTAGGAAAAGGAGCTCTAAAGTTTCTAGACAGAAACGAGAAAGATGGTGAAGCGTGGTTCTTGGTAAATGAAATGACTATCTTCTTGATGGAAAGGAACGAGAAACGAGAATTGGTTGAAGAAGCGGAAGGAAGTCAACTGGATATAAATCAAGTCGGTGTAAACGGATTACAAAATTCTGGACACAAGGAAATCTGGTTCATTTGCCTTATTGCCGTTCGCTGTAGCTAATTTGCTCATAGTTTTTTCCATAGTCGTATTCGTATTTGTCTACTTTCTTTCTCACTGCCGTTTATATGTTTGTTACGTAATTTAGAATCATGTTCATTTCCTTTGATCTGTGCTGATAAGCGAGATACTTTGTGATCTAGTTTAAACAGTAAACTTTCATTTTCATTTCATTGCAACGCACCGTAGCTTCAAAGTTTCGACATATAAAATAGCTTAAGATTTCCTGTTCTGCAATTTACGAACTGATGTCGACTGTGTTCAGCCCCCGCCTGACTGAATGAACCCCTTGAAAGAGAATGGATTGGGTTTGTACGCTCTGATGAAAGAGCGTGCACACAAACCAAAATTCCACTACAAACCCTTCCTGGAAAAACTTTACACGAATTTGAAAAGGATAGCTGACATTGCACTCAGTCTCCTGAACAGAATATCGTAACAACCTAGTAGAAATGGAAAACTATGAATGCAAATGACGGCGAACTCTCACGAATACAAGAATTGCATCGAATTATTTGTTTTCCTAAACTGAACGTCGTCTTCTGGCACCAAGATGTTCATAGGTGCATCGGGAAACGACCACTGGTCAAGGTTTCATCTACCTGTTCCCAGGGTTCTGTACATTTCGGTGAAAGGAAAGACGGCATTGTTGATAGACCAACACTTAGTTCTCCATAACATATGGCGATTTGCAAAATTCGCAGCCACCCTCATCATCGGTAGATCGGGGCTTGTCCTCTGAACACAAGGAAGACTTTAGAAGATGAAAGTCTGATAAATCTGTTTGCGGATAAGTTGTCTGCGAAATTTGATCGAATGGCATGCCAACTCTCAGACATAGCGACGAGATGGAAACTACATAAAACAGTAATGACTGTTCTAATTCCAAATCGTTGGGGAACACCGTGTAGAAAAACGAATCTTTCGGTAGAAATTTGAAAACGGAGACACCGTCAGAACAAGGAGGAAGCGGTTTGCGAGAAAAGCAGGTCGCTTTTTATGCGCATTCCGTGCATCAGAACTTGCAAAGCTGCGACTCAATCTTCGGCAGCTGTTATCTTTGGCAGCAGCGGCACCATTTGGAAAGAAATCCATATATCGAGCGGCAAGGAAAACTTCTGGAAAATTATTTCCGCCACTTGCTGTGTGAATTGTTAAAAGTTTCGATTTAAACGAACTATCTAGCGAGAAAAATACACTCCAACAGTTGTGTGAATGCTTCAAGGATTTTTAGCATTCGTGATTCCGTTCAAATAGTAAACTGTTCATTCATTAATTTCCTTGATCCAGTCTCTGCACATCGTGACGGCAATCTTGGACTGATTTTCTGAATGAAAAGCAGTCTGATCGTACAAGAAATTTCGGCTCTTACCCAGTCTCTGAAAGCTGCAAAACTGCTGAGAAAGGACGATATTTGGCGTAGTATGAAAAAGTTTAAAATCGGAATCATATGAGATGACTTAATTCAGTATGTCATAATGCATTAGGATATCAAAAGAGATCAAAGCAATGGCAAAGCGGGGTGCTGTTCTTTTTTCAAAGGGGGAGGGACAAAGAGACTGTAGCGATTACATAGGTATGCTCTACTTAGCTCACCCAAAAAGATCGATGGGAGCTGATGGGAGAAATAATTCTGATGCAATGGTTAAAAGCACGACGACGATAATATGACTTTCGCCTCGGTCAATGCAAATCTTTTACCTCGGCTACAACTCCTAAAAATACTGGAATGTTGCAGTGCGCAGAGTTGAAGTCTGAGAAAGCTTAAGATAGACCTGGAGAGCAGCTGTGAGGAGTGTTTCATGAATATGAGGTAGATGGCCACATAGTGAGGCGAGCAAATCTTGGTACGAATGCTCAGAAGTCCTGGTCCGCATTCAGGGCTGCAAGCAATGCGTTTAAAAGTTCGCGCGTGTATGTTGAATAGTTACAAGCTGTCTCCTCTCTTGTTAAAAAGTTTTATGGATTGGATCAGCATGTTAGATTCTGAACAGAAGGCCTATCATTTTGAGGAGCGGCTGAACCTTCCGTTGCTTTGGATGATCTTTTATCACTCGCTTTTAGCCAGGATGAATTTCAACGAGATAAGTCCTGGATTAAGATAGACTTCACGAGTCCTGATGATTTTATAATCTGTGCAAAAAAATTCTATTCAGCATGCATGTTCTCCATTTGAGGGAGCGCAACTAAGGTGAGGAGGGAAAATCAAGTATGTCATTTTACCATTAACGAGAAATGGAGATTTGGGGTGACACACTTATACAGGTGAGCGCCCTAATGCAGTGGGTAAACCTGTGTGTAATGACGAACAAACGACTGAACAGTGATGCAGAGGATCAGGTTTGAAGTCTGCCTACTCCCACTCATGTGGCTACTCCCACTCATGTTCATAGGTCCTGACTACGAGCCGAAAGAATGAGATTATCCATAAACACGTCAGAAATGAGAATTTTTATGCAATTGCTCACGTAAGAAAATCCAACATGACTGGGCGCATAACAGATTGAACACATTAAGTCCATATCTTTGCCTACGGACAGTGACAGATTTCGCTAGTGCTCGAATGCGTTCCTTAAAGGTCCAACTCAGATATGAGGTCCAGCATACAGCACATACATTAAAGGCTCAAATGTGACCGAACATGGCAAAATGACAGTCGACGTTCCTACACTTTCGGTCAGACTTCGAACTTCGATTCAGCTCATCGCCAGATACTGTAACGTGCTATTCTTCAGTATGGGATTATACAAGCGATGATAAACTGATTTCCAGAACTGTGGAAAGATCCGTCCAAGAGTAATAAACGCCGTGTCCGAACCGAAGGCTCATTTTCAGACTAGACCAACATTACCAGCGAAGTTCGTCGAG